GGGGAAGTGAGCGGCCAGGCCTCACCCCTTCCTGCCTAGGTGGGTAGGAGCAAGGGTCCCTCCCTTCTCCGGGCCACTGTGCCAAAGAACCTGGGAGCAGACTTCCCCCACCCCCAGCCCAGCTAATGGGAACCAGATGACAGGATGTTTAGTCAGCGCCTGGGGAGCAGCGAACAGGGGAAATGGGTTGGGGGGCAGAATTCCAGAATCCATCCCCAGGCAGGGGGAGGGTCAGGACTCCCACCACAGTTGTCTCCTAGGGCCCACCTCAGGGGAAGGCAGGAGGCCTGGCCTCTGGCATCTGACTTGGGTGAGCCAGGCTCTCTCTTCGTTCCTTCTCTGTCCTGAAGGTGGCGGGAAGTGGGGGGGAAGCGGGGGGAGAGAGTGGCTCAGTCTTCCAGGATCCCTGCGTAAAAATTTGCAAATCTCGCAAATCTCGATGAGTCTCCCAGTCACACCCAAGCCTCCCGTGCCTAAGGGCTCCCCTCCCCCAGCTTCAGCAGACTGCCAGCCCCGTCATCCTGTGTCACCCACAGGCACACAGGCACATGGCGGCTTCATCCTTGGCTCCCAAGGTGCTTGCTCGTGCTCACTCCCCAGACAGTCCCTGTCTCTAGGCTGCGTGTTGCATGGTCCCAGACTCAGGCTGTGAACCAGAGCCCTGGATGGGACAGGGGACAAGGTGTCCCTGCTGCACCCTGCGTGCTGTCCATCACACTGCTACCCGGACCCAAGTGGGCAGAGGCTGAGGGGCCCACCGAAGACCCACTTGCGGGGACACCCTGCCCTGACCATTGTCCAACCCTTCCTGGGTCTCACGCACTCCCACGTGGCTCCAGACCGAGACCTTGAACCCCAGGTGGTGATGGGAAGCTCCTTCCCTACAGCCCTTCCCAGCCCTGCTCCTCCTCCGCCCCTCCCCCACCCTCTCCGGCACCCCCGCCTTGCCCACAATTAACTCATTTTTTGAGATCGCTTCCAAACATAAGTCAACACTGGACAGAGCTGTAGGAAAAGCTTCCTCAACGCTGGCCCCGAGCAGCCTCGTGGTGAGCCCAGCCTCTTGGCTGTCCCCCACCCCCCGCCTGCCGTTGGCTTGGGGCTGGGGCCCTCTGAGGGCTGGCCCTGGGCCTTGGTCAGACACTCTCTTCTTTGACACTTGCTCCACCCTGGCGTCCCTGCCCCCAGGCCTGGCCTCCTTTCCACCTTGTCCCATCCTGACCTACAGGTGCCCCTCTGAGCCACAGGGCATGTGAGGGTGTGGGGGCACCTCGGGAACCCCTGATGACAGTGGTTACACTGGGACCTGGGGCTCTTGGCCAAGAAGTCTGGGGATACCTGTGAGATGGCCTTGCTCAGGCCACTGTCAGGCTGCCCAGGCCAGGGGTCCCCGAAGAGATGGCAGCCCCTGGTCCACACACACTCCAATCTGGGGTGGGAACACAGCCAGGGGGTCACAGGACATGGAACCCCGTCCATTTCATTTTATTTTTAAAAAACTTTTAAATATATTTTTTTCATTGATTTCAGAGAGGAAAGGAGAGGGAGAAAGAGAGAAACATCAATGAGAGAGAATCATGGATCGGCTGCCTCCTGTACGCCTCCTACTGGGGATCGAGCCTGAAACTTGGGCATGTGCCCTTGACCAGGAATTAAACCGTGACCTCCTGGTTCATAGGTTGATGCTCAACCACTGAGCCACATGGGCTGGGACCCCTCCATTTTATGAAGGAGATCATAGAGGCCTGGAGAAAAGGGCACTGCCCAGAGGTAGGCAAGGTGCTGGTAGAAGGACCAGGAGCTGAGCTGTGTACCCCAGCGCCCATGCCCAGGTCGCCCTGTGGCCCCAAGGGCTGGGTCCAACTAGCCCCCTTGGCTCTGCCCATGTGTCTGTTTCCCCTGGAATTGGGAGTCCTCAGCATTGGCGCACAGGTTCCCCAAAGTGCCAGAGCCGCCATTGCCCAGGTAGCCTGGCACCTGCCCCCTCTCCTGAGGACCCGAGGCCCGGCCCCTCTCCTTTCCCAGCCACGGAGGTAGGACCTGGCAGCCTCGGGTGGGCGGCCTGCTCTGCGGTGGGCCTCACAGGCCCGCTGTGTGTGGAAACAGAAGCCTCATTCATGGGGGCCACTGGGCTCGGGCCAGTGGAGAATAAATGCGGGCCTTATGGGAAAGTAGCGAGAGCGCTGAGGCCCAAGAAAATATCAATCTGCCTTTCTCCTCAGGTGGGAGCAAGGGATGCTGGGGAAAGTGGGGAGCAAGGCCTGGGGAGGTGTGTTTGGAGGGGGCTCCCTGGGGGAGGGCCAGGGTGGGGAGAGGCTCGGAGCACTGCAGCCAGGGCCAGGAGCTCAGGGAGCGGGACTGTCCGGTGCCATCCGAGGTGTCCCTTCCTGCCAGGGCCACCGCTCCCACCGCTCCCAGCTATTCATTCTCTCTGCCGACGCAGGCGCCCTGCGTGGCCTGCACACAGTGGCCATGAAGACCATGCTGCTCCCTGTCCTGGCTCTCTGGGTGGGGTGCTGCCCTGGAGGGGCCCTGGCTCAGCAGAGGCCGAGCCTGAGAGAGCCCATGGCCCCACCAACCCCCACGGGCTTGCCTGCCCTGCAGCTGCTGCTGCCCATCATGCCTGGGCGTCCCGATGGTGAGTAGGTGGCACCAGCAGGAGGAGGCTGGCAGGAGGGGAGCGCCCTGTCCCACCAGTGGAACCCCCCAGGGCTGGGGCAGAGGGAAAAAAAGCTGGTCACCCAAGGCTGCCCACCTTGGGTGCGGGAAGGGGCCTTAGAGGGGCCCATGGCCTCAGGGAACCATCCCTGGAGGGCATGGGGTGGACTGCAGATTCTTAGAAGCCCCGTGCCCATCCCGCAGGGTGGGAGCAGGGGAGGTAAGAGCCCCCCGCCCAGGAGGGGCCACTGTAGTGGGGCTGGAAGAATGGATCTGGATTTGCTGGTTGGGGAGCTGAGCTGGCTGCGCTGGGCCTGCTGGGGAGACTGAGAGAAGCATGGGAGGTTGGAAGTGGGGGGCCCGGGGCTGGGGTGGGGTGGCACAAGGGGCCCCAGGAAACCAGCTATGGTGTGGCCACTGGTTGTCGGCCCACCCCCAGGCCTGGGGGTGGGGCAGGAAGGGCCAGGGGTGGACCTGCAGGGAGGCTTATGGTCAGTACTGGTTAAACGGGGCCGCCATGCAGTGGAGGGGAGGCCTGGGGGCTATTGCCCCACCTTAGCCATTGCTGGTGACCCTTTTAAGTGGCCTCTGGGCTTGCCTTGCCCCCAGCAACCTCCCCTCCCAGCAGGCACTAGGGCTCCCACTTCTGAAAACAAGCTGCCAGGTGGCAGTGACCCCTTCGGATCTCCAGAGGCTATGCCCACCCTCCTGCCCAGGCAGCACCCACGGGGCCCCGGAGGCATAGGAGCAGGCTCAACCCCTCTGCCCGGGCCACTGAAGCCCTCCTGTGCCCACCCCAGGGGCCTACCTATGCCTTGTCCTGACAAGATGGAGGGTCCGCAACAGTAAAGAGCTGCCTCAGTTCTGAGAGGCAGGCAGGGTGACTCTGGTGCTAGGGGTCCCCTATGCTGGGGCCATGAAACCAGGAAATCTCTGACACTTGATGGCCTTGGGGGTCTGTGACAGAAGGATGGGAGCTCCTGGAGAGAGGACAGAAAGGCAGAAGTGAGGCCTGGGCACAGAGAGAAAGAGAGAGGGCGCCCTAGCCGGGTTGGCTCAGTGGATAGAGCGTTGGCCTGCAGACGGAAGGGTCCGGGTTCGATTCCGGTCAAGGGCATGTACCCCGGTTGCAGGCTTCTCCCTGGCCTGGGCCCTGGTTGGGGCTTGTGCAAGAGGCAACCAATCCATGTGTTTCTCTCACATCAATGTTTCTCTCTCTGTGTCTTTCCCTCTCTCTTCCACTCTCTCTAACAATCAATGAAAAAATATCCTCAGGTGAGGATTTAAAAAAAAAAAAAGAAAGAGGGAGGGAGGGCTTCCAGCCTGTAGCTGACCCCCAGCTAGGGGGAAGGAGGTGTGGCCTCTCAGCCATTCAGGGGTCCTGGCCACCCCAGCCTGAACCGGCTCCTTCTGCAGGGGGGCAACCCATTCCCAAGAATGGTGGCTGGGACAGGCCTGAGGACGGGCAGCTGGACTGGGCACAGGTGTGGCCCACCTCTGAGAGGGTGCCCATGGAGCCCCCACCCAGCCCCCCAGACCCAGCTGGAAGGCCCCTGCCAGGCCAGGGCTGTCCCAGAGGAGTCACCCCAAGTAGCCTGGGAGGAAGAGCAGGCCGCGCCCCAGGCCGTAGCTGCAGTGGGGGCTGAGGAAGCAGGGCCTCAGGTGGCCAAACTCAGGCTCTCGAGGATCAGCAAGACCCCCTTCCCTCCCCGCTCCAGTGCAAGAGGGCACAGTGGCTGCTGAGAGGCCGGGACAGGAAGGCAGGAGGCTGGGAGGCTAGGAGAAGGGGCCTGAAGCCCAGGAGGCACCTCAAAGGTGAGGACTGGCCAGGACAGGCAGCCCCCAGGTGGAACTGTGGGGGTGACAGGCTGTGCGTGAGCCTGAAGAGTCCTTGACTTGGTCCAAGTGTCACCAGCTGAGACCCCATCCCATTCTCAATGTGCCCAAGCCTAGACCCTCACGTGTGGGGCCAGAGGGGATCTCTCTAAGGCAGGGCTCCTTCCCACCCTCAGCCCCAATTTGGGCCTTCACCCTTGGTGCCCAGGGAAAGAGGCCCAGTGTCCCGGTGTTCCAGCCCAGCTGGCAAGCTGCTGGCAAATCTAAGGGCCCCGGGCAAGGCCCTGACCCTCAGGGGGCCCCTGTTGCTATGTGACTAGGCTGGGGCTGCGTCTTGTTCTCCAGGGTCCTCCCACCACCGTGGCCCAAGGGGCTGGCGACAAAAGAAGGACTGCAGTCAAGGCTGCGGGGGCAGCAGCATCTCAGCGACCACAGGCCGTGGGCAGAGAAGGCCTGGAAGCAGGCGAGGGCATGGGCATGGGCATGGCCCTGCGGACCCAGGCACCATGGAGCAGGCCATGCCCTCCCTGCCAGCCACATGCCTCCTGGCCCAGGCGGCCATTGCCTGTGGCAATGCCAAGATGAAACACATCCCTGCCCTGACCGACCCTGGCCTGACCACACTCTACCTGGCAGGTGAGTGGTCTTCTTCCCCACACTCACCCCTGCAGCACGGGTGAGGCAGCCACACCTCCAGGCTACTCTGCTAGTGGGTCCTCAGCCAGTGTAGCCACCACCTCGCTGTGCCCGGAAATAGTTCACTTTCCCATGGGTCCTGGTCGGGAGCGAGAAGATGCTCTGACCTGGGACAGCAGAGGAGCCAGCTCCTTTAAGTGCGTCTTTGCTGCCTCCGCCGGAGTGGGGGAGGTACGGAGTGGCAGACGGGAGGGGGACAAGGACACGTGGAACATGGCTGCCCCGTGTGTGTGCACAGAGAATGAAATTGCCAAGATCCCAGCCCACACGTTCCTGGGACTGCCCAACCTGGAGTGGCTGGACCTGAGCAAGAACAAGCTGGATGCCCGAGGCCTGCACCCTGGTGCCTTTAAGGTGCGCAGCAGCCCCGCCGCCTGCTCTCCCAGGGGCCTGGACAGCCCCAAATGGCCCCAGGCATCCATGGCTCCTCTCCCGCCCCTGCCTGGGAGACCAGGCCCAGAGGAAGCACGGAGTACTCAGCATGGCGGGCTTGGATGATGTGGGGTGACACAGTCCATAGCTGGGAGTGTGGAGAGCAGCACAAATTTGTGGGCTCCATGAGGGAACAGCACCCTGGGAGAAACTAAGGGGGGTTCTGGAAACCCAGATAGGCCTGATCTAAGCAGGAACTAGGAAGCCGTGATGCAACCATTAGGGGTGCCCCTGGGTGGGATAAGCCCAAAACCACACCCAGCAGGCCTAGACCTGGCCCACAGAGAACACCAGCCCCCAGCCCCTTCTTCTCCCCCACCCACTTGCAGAATCTGACGCGGCTAAAGCGGCTGAACCTGGATGGAAACCGGCTGTCCACAGTGCCGGCCCTGCCCGCCTCCCTGCAGGAGCTCAAGCTCAACGACAACCACCTGCAGGGCCTGCAGCACAGCAGCTTCCGGGGTGCTGGCAGCCCCAGGGGCAGGGAACAAAGGGCTGAGGCCTGGGCAGCCATGGAAACCTTGGAAAGCTGTGGGAGAGCGAGGGGAGGGTCTGCCCAGGGCAGCCTGGCTGGAGGGCAGAGGAGGGAGCAGCAGCAGGCAGCTCCCAGTGGCTCTGCGGTTGGCTCAGGCTCTGCCCACCTACCCTGCAGGGCTCAGCAAGCTGCTAACGCTGGAGGTGGAAGGGAACCAGCTGCATGATGGGAACATCTCCCCCCTGGCTTTCCGGCCCTTGGGCAGCTTGCTGTACCTGAGGCTGGACCGGAACCGGCTGCGGACCATCCCACCCGGCCTGCCAGCCTCCCTGCAGGTGAGATGCAGGCCCCGAGTCCGGGACAGGCAGTATTGTGGCCAAATGACCAGAGCTGCTGACTAGTAGGGCTGCCCATGTGGGTATTTTTTTTTAATTTAAAATATATTTTTATTGATTTCAGAGAGGAAGGGAGCGGGAGAGAGAGATAGAAACATCAATGATGAGAGAGAATCATTGATTGTCTGCCTCCTGCACACCCCCTAATGGAGATCAAGCCCGCAACCCGGGCATGTGCCCTTGACTGGAATCAATCCTGGGACCTTTCAGTCCACAGGCCAAATCAAACTAGCTAGGGCCCATGGGGGGAATTTTGATGATAAACCCACAAGGCCTCAGCGCCAAAGGCCTCCCCTCCCCCTGACCTCACCTTCCAAGAGCCCAGAGTTGGGCCTCAAGGACTTTCCTGGACCCACTGGCTGTCCCTGAGCCAGGTCCTTGCCCACTCTGGGCCACATGGTCCCCTGTGCTTGGCGGTACTCTCTGTGGCTGTGTCTTGTGGGACCCTGAGGAGTCATGGCATCACTGACAGATGTCGCTGGGATCCTTTGCACAGGTGACTATGGCCCTGAGAGGACCAGAGACTGTGTTATCCGAGTACCACGGATGGGGCCGGGAGGAAGGGGGCAGGGAACAGGGCCAGGCCCCCAGGGAGCGAGCCCCTCACCCGAGCCTTGGCTCTAGGAGCTGCACCTGGGTGCCAACGTCATCGAGGAGGTGACAGAGCGCACGCTGAACCGCAGCTGCAGCCTCAGTGTGCTGGTGCTCAGCAACAACCGGCTCCAGGAGGACCGGCTGGCGCCCCGAGCTTGGATCGATCTCCCGTGAGTGCCACCACCGCCCTGGCACTGCCCAAGCTTCACCCCCATGGGCACCTGGAGGCCAGAGAGGAAAAATGTGCTCAGATAAACCCAGAGAGTCAGGTGGGAAGGCAGAGAAGCCTGGGGTGGCCCTGTTGCTTGGGCCTGGTCTCAGGTGAGTCACCCGTCTCTCCATCCAGGGCTCAGGGTGGCCTAGGCCCTCAGCCACCACCTGCTCCTCCACAATTTTCCTGTGCCTCCGCCTGGCAGAATCCCCAAGGCCACAGAAACCCCTTCCCTCGCCCATGCCTGGGCTTGCCCTACAGGCACCCAGGAAGCTCACCCAAGAGGTGCCATGGGCTTGGATGAAGGGGCAGTGCGGGTGGTAAGAGCTGGCCTGGCATTGGGTTTAGCGAAGAGGCAACAGAGGGAAGAAGAGTCATGGAAGAGATGATGGAGCACAGGAAAGAGAAATGTATGAGTGTTCTGGGGCGGCTGTAACAAACTACACAAACTGGGCAACTTACAGCAACAGAGATTGACTCTCTTCTGGTTCTGGAGGCCAGGGACCCAAAATCAAGGTGTCAGCAGGGCCATGCTCCCTCTGAAGCTCCAGGGGAGGATCCTTCCTGCCTCTTCCAGTTTCTGGTGGGTCCAGGTGTTCTTGGCTCGTGGCCACATCACTCCAGTCTCTGCTTCTGTCTTCATGTAGCTTCTTCTCTGTGTCTCTCTTCTGTGTCTTACCTGTCATTTTACTTAGGGTCCACCAGGGTAATCCAGGATGATGGCATCTCAAGATCCTTGACTTCATTACATGTATAAAGGCCCTTTTGCCAAATAATGTCACGTTTGTAGGTTCTGGGTAGACATGTGTTTTGGGGGCCACTATTCATCCCAGTATAGGAAGGCTCCAGGACGAGTCCCCTGATCTGGTTTGGACATCGGGGTGGGGGTGCTGGCAGGAGGGGTCCAAGAGGGGATCCGGTCCTTAAAGGCACTGCCTCGGGAGTCAGGACATGGTCTCGGGATCAGCAGGAGGGCTGGTGAGGTCCAATCCTTGGGTGCTAGCACCAGCACTGAGGGAGCAGGGTGGGGGTGGAGAGACAGACAGGGGTCGACAGATTGTCCGACCTACTATTGCAGGATCAGAGCCTCCCGCCCTGCATCCTCGAGTTCCAGGAAAAAGTTACCAGAATGTTTGGGTTTAATTATTCTTTTTTCCTCTCCTGTTCTTGCCAAGGGGGCAAAGGAAAGCAGACAGCAGCCTGGGGAGGAGCCGCCCAGCCGCTGTTCCACTCCCGCCACGCCACGGGGGCCTGAGGCGGGGGCGGAAGGGGGGGGGGAGGCTGGCAGCCAGTCAACCAGTCAAGCCCCAGCTGGCACCGCCCAGTTTTTCCCTGGATCGTGGAAGGGGAGGGGGCTGCTGGCTCCGCAGGCTCCGGAGGTACCTGAGCCCCCAGCCCTGTGGACTGAGGACAGCATGGGCCCCAAGGCCAAAGGGCTGACCCCACCTCCAGGGGCTGGGGGATGTCACTGAGAGAGAAGCCACTTTCCCTGCCCTGGGCCTTCTAAAAGCTTCACCTCCCTGACCAGCCCTTGCTCTCACCTCCCATGGAGCGACCTGGGCTCACGGAGGCCTGAGCTTCACTGCCTGCCTCCCTGATCCCTTAGGGTCCCCTGGCCTTGACCCTCTGAGAGATTGATTTTCTTTTTCTCCCCGTCTCTCTTCTGCTTAGCCTGTGTGAGGCAGGAAGAGGACAAGAGAGTAGGGATGGAAGGAGGAGGCTGTGGGGCCAAGGAAGGGCAAAGCAGGGACAGGCCTAAGTGGGAAAGGCAGGTGACAACGCAACTGCCCCCAGCTCTTTCGCCAGATAGCAGGTCCCTCCACTTGTACTTTTTTTCCAGTGTAGCTCTGACTGTGTGTGTGTGTGTGTGTGTGTGTGTGTGCGTGTATTGGTTTCAGAGAGGAAGAGAGAGGGAGAGATAGAAACATCAATGATGAGAGAGAATCATTGATTGGCTGCCTCCTGCACACCCCACACTGAGGACCGAGCCCACAACCCAGGCACGTGCTCAGACTAGGAATCGAACCATGACCTCCTGGTTCATAGGTCAACACTCAACCACTGAGCTACACCAGCTGGGCTGACTGTGTCTTCTGTCAGGGCAAATCCCCACTCTCCTCTTGGGTGTGGCCCAGGGACCATGATCTGGGTTCTAGCTGTTCCGGTGCTTGTGGCTGGGCGCCATCAGCTCACCTGGAACCCCTGCGCCCCACAGGAAGCTGGAGACCCTCGACCTGTCCCACAACCGACTCGTGCACGTCCCCTCCTTCCTGCCGCGGGGCCTCCGGCGCCTGCTTCTGCACCACAACCACATTGAGCGCATCCCCGGCTACGTGTTCGCACACATGAAGCCGGGCCTGGAGTTCCTGCACCTGTCCTACAATAGCCTGCGTGCCGACGGCATCCACGACGTGTCCTTCTGGGGCCTGCGCACCTCCCTGGCGGAACTGCTCCTGGATCACAACCAGCTGCAGGCCATCCCGCGAGGCCTGCTGGGCCTCAAGGGGCTGCAGGTGCTGCGTCTGAGCCACAACAAGATCAGGTAGGGCTGCCCACCTGCGCCTGTCCTGCTGTCTCCTCCCTCCCCCCTCCAGCCAGGGCTGAGCCATCAGGCCCTGCCTACCAGGTGGGCCGGGGAGGGCTGGCCTGTGGGCCCTGTGGCCTCAGAGGCTGAGGGTGGGGCTGTGGGGGAATCCTTCACACACCCCCATCCACCCATCTCGGCTGGTGTGATGGGAGGCTGTGCCCAGGTGGAGGGCAGCATCCAGCAGAATCCGGGCAGGGGGTGGGCAAGGGGCAGGTAGGACAGCTCCAGTCCAGAGCAGCAAGGGCTGAGCCACCTGCCTGCCCCTCTGCCCCGGGGTCTTGTCCCTGCACAATGGTCTCATTGCCCCCCTCACTGTGGGGCCCTCTCTTCCTCTACTCTTGTGTGATGCCTGCCTCCCCTTCCTGGGATCTTCTCTCCTCTGCTCGGCCCTGCCACCCCCACTCCACAGACACGTGCCTCTGAATTCCATCTGTGACACTCGAGCGGCCCAGGACTCCAACCTCATCTCCACGCGCCTGGAGAACAACTTCATCGATAGGCGCCGCATCCCCCCCACCGCCTTTTCCTGCATCCGGGCCTACCACAGTGTGGTCCTCCAGCCCCAGCAGGGGGAGGGGGAAAGCTCCTAGGCCCCCCTACTGGGCTTCCCTGCTCTCCTCCCTCTCCTTTGAGGCTGGTGAAGGGGGCTCAGGCCCAGGTCCACTTGATCTTTGCACCACTTCAAGAAAGATCTAGAACACCCTGATTCTTCCCATGGACTGCTGAGGCCCCTTCACTTAGTAACCAGCCTGGTGGGGTGCAGTGCTGGTTCGGACTTGAATGTAATAAATGCATCTTATTCAAGCCCATGGCCTCCACCAGCCTCCCCCCACCCACCCTCCCTCTTGGATCAAAGCCACGTGCGTGTGCTGGATGTCCACTGTGTGTGGAGTCCCAGAGCCCACATCCTGGACATTGCTTCATCAGCAGGGGGTTGAGAGTGACTGATTCCGGAAGCTTCTCCAAAGAGCCTCCTCACCCTCACTCATCTGCCCTGGCCAGGGTCCTGAAGTCCCCAAGCCATCTGGGGGCCAGGCTGGACTCTTGCTCAGAGCAGCATCAGTGCCTGTCATCCACGAAGCATCCCTGTCGGGGGCAGAGGGGGCTGGGAGAGAGGAAGAGATAGGCTTAGCTGGCCGAACAGGCTGACGTGGAAGCCCGTGGTGCCGACCCTTTGTCCTGGAGCCACCCACATCCACTCCTGCACCCAGGCCAGGGACACCTTGCTTCAAGGTCCCGGGGCCCTCCTCCTGGTTCCCCCATCCCAGGCACACACCCATTCCCCAAGCTAGCCTGTGGGTCCCCGGCTGCCCCAGCCCCCACAGCCCTCAGGGGCAGGCTCAGGCGTCCAAGGCTGTGGGATCCAGATGTCCCCAGTGCGACCTGGTGCCAGGGAAGGGTGGGGAGTGGCATGGGCTCAACAACTCTTGGGAAAGGAGCGCTTGGTCTCTGGGAGGCCAGGCCTGGCCCTGGGGATCCAGCAGCCACTGTCCCCTGGCCAAAGTTGCTGACTTGTCTGCCTGGTGGGGGAGGCAGACGCAGATGCGGGCCAGCTGTGGTGGTGAGCCCTGCTGAGCCCTGAGGACAGGACTGGCCAGCTGTGCTGGGTGGGGACACAGGGTCTGTGAAGCCCCATGAGGTCACTGGAACAGTTGCCCTGCCCGTGCGAGGGGAGCCACCAGGACTAGGGTGGGGTCACTGGGTCAGCCTTGACAGCTCATGATGCCACCACGCCTGGTGCTGAGAAGGACGGAGGGGAAAGGAGGAGGCAGGCAAGTGATAGGCATCAAGGATGCAGTAGGAGTGGGACCGGCCCCAGCTTCAGCGCTGCTGGCTGTGGGGGGAGTGAAGCAGGAAGGACACCAAGTCCCCACTGCAGAGACCTTGCCCTGCCACCGCCTCTCGCTGTAGTCTGGGCCTGGGAACTGTGAGCCCGACATCGGTCCCATTCTGTAGCCACCCACCCCCACCCTCTCCCTCCCCCCTCCCCCCTCCCCCAGTTCTCAACAGAGAAAAGGCCAGACTCTGGCAGGGGGCGGGGCGAGGCCTGGGAAGCTGGTGGAGTGTTTGCTTTGGACTCATCCCTGCATTCCTTCTCCAACCCGGCCTAGGCCCACAGATATGGCACTTCCTGTTTGGGCTGGGTCAGAGGTCAGCAGCCCTTGAGGCGCTGGCCCTGATGGGGAAGGCTGCTACTTTCCCAGCTCTCATGACCCCTTCTCCCCACCCCTCCTGTTCCAGCTACCCCCCAGCTGCCTCCTTCCCCACAGACACAGAGGTCAGGCCCTGGGAGCACAGGAACTCTGGACTGGGTGAACCCCCCACTTCCCCACCGCTCCTTCCTCCCCTGAGCGGATGAGGTCCAAGGACCAGGAGGAGAAGGGCAGGGTAACATGGCTGCCATGTAGGGGTAAGGGCAGAGGAGGGCAGGGCATGGAAGAATAGGCCGCCCACAGGTAGTGGCCAGGTTAATTCCACTCCCAGACAGGAAGCTGCTAGGCCCTCGGGGCTGCTGGCAGGTGGGCTGAACCCAGGCCCAGAAGCGAATCCTTGGGTGACCCCCCTGAAGGGAGCCGGGCCCAAGGCACCCGGGACAGCAGAGCCTCCCGGGAAACCAACTGCTGAGGGGAAGATTAGCCTACAGGGAGTTTACTTGTAGGCTCTTGGGCTACCAACTCGGGAGGGGAGGACAGGAGCAGGAGTGGCCCAGGGAGGAGCTGGCCTGCAGCCAATGATACAGCCCAGCCATGCCCCTCCTGTGCTCCAACCCTGAGCTGGTCCTGAGTTGGGGCAAGGGGACCGGGTCTTTCTATCCCCCTGTCATCAGTAGGTGGGGCTGCCCAGCAAAGGGGACATGACTGGGGTGAGGGCTCTCTCTCCAGCCCTGACAATTCCCCCAGAGGGCCAGGAGCTCAGGACTAGGGGTGCCAGTAGCTGGGCGCAGGGAGGTGGCAGTGGCAGTAGCAGCACGGTGTGCCCCTGGTGAGAGGGGATAGTCAGCAATCCAGCCAGGGAGGACGAAGGAGTGCAGTGCTGTGGACATCTGGTGGCAGGACCGAGCCTGCCTGTCACCTGGTGCCCGCCTCCTCTCCACCCATGCGCCAACCCCCATCCTCTGCTCACGCATGCCTGCACGGGGCTGGGTACTGTGTCCCCGTTCAGGGCAGGTGCTGGCTCCATTGGTGGGGCTCTGGGGGGACACTGGTAACTGTGATGGTGACTACAGAGTAAGAGTGACTGGGGTCAGGTGGCATGGCAAGTAGGGAGGCACTCATCGGCGGCCCCTGGATTGAGACAAGGGTAGGAGGGGGTGGGGGTGGGGCAGTGGGGACTGGGAGGGGAACACAATGTAACAAATGTGAGGGGCGACAATGAGGACAGGAAGAAGTGTTGCATTCTTTGGGGCCGGACTGATGTCTCCTCTCAGGGACCTTGATGGAAACTTGCACATCTTGCCCTATCTGGTTTGGCTCAGTGGATAGAACATTGGCCCGCGGACTGAAGGGTCCCAGGTTCAAATCCGGTCAAGGGCATGTACCTCAGTTGCAGACGCGATCCCTGGCCCTGGTCAGGACACGTGCGGGAGGCAACCAATCAATGTGTCTCTCTCACATAGATGTTTCTCTCTCTATGTCTTTCCCCCTCCCTTCCACTCTCTCTAAAAATCAATGGAACAATATCCTTGGGTGAGGATTAACAACAACAACAAAAACCTTGCATGTCTGAACCCCTACCCCCAGCCACAGACCCAGAGCCCTGCCCATGGACCTCCAAATTCTCCAACCTGCCTATTCCTCTCTGTCCCCAGTGCCCCGACTTGAGGGTCTACCTTCGCAGGTCTCCCTGCCTAGCCTCCTGCACATTTGGTTCCATGCCTTCCTGCTGCCTCACACCCCACTTCGTGGCAAGCTTGGTTCCAGCTCCCAAATCCAGAGACACAGGCCCAGGAAGGAGCATACGGAGCGGAGGGAGGCAAAGGATACATCTAAGGTCATATGCCCTGTGCCACGCCTCCCCCACCCTGGCGGCCACCCAGGGCCAGGCCAGGACACACTAGCTGCAAGGCCCCCCTCCCCTGCACCCACCCTCACCCATTGCCCTCACCTGAGCCCCCTAACCCTGCAGGCAGCTCGCAGATCCGACCACAGCTCCTAGGGGCTGGCCTGCCCCAGGGGAAGACCATGGGGGCCCCGGGGTGCCTCATGGCATCTGTGTCTCGCAGGTTTCTAAGGCGGTGAACAGATGGATGCCTCCCCGTGGCACAGTCCCTGTCCACCATCCCTCGTCTGGCCACACCCAGACCGTGCCTCTCTAAAGATAGCTAGTCGTAGGCCAGCCTGCACAGAGCCCCCTTCGGGCCCTGAAATTACAGCCCTGGCAGCCCTGGGCGGAGAGCCACTGTGTGATTATGTCCTCAGGGAAGGTCAAAAAAAGCTCTGGCATAGAGAGTGCCAGCTTTCACCGGCCACACCTCGGCCATCGGCACTGGGAAGCTTCCAGATCCTGGAGGCTCGGCCGCTCCACAACCACTCGGCTCCCCCTTGAGCATGTTAGCATGAGCCTCTCAGGGAATGGTCCTAGTCCCCTTCACCCAGAGGGTCCCCTGAGCACAAGTTATACGTTTGGGGCTCCTGGATGTCCCAACTCTGGCCTCCAGGGACCCTGAGGTGGGGGCCTGCCTCCCTGGTGACTATGGGCCTGGCCCTCCCTCTCCCCTGCCTGGGCCCTGAGAGTGCAGAGATTGGGGGTGGATGAAGCCCGCCAGCTGTGAGTGAGGCCCACATAAGGCCATGAACTTGAGGACACAGGCTTGGGTTCAGGGGCTGCAGTGCCTGGGAGCCTTGAGGGCTCTCTCAGAGATCTCAGCGGAGTTCAGGGCAAGGCCACTTGCTCAAGAAGTGACCTTGATGTGTGTGTGATGTGTTCCTGCTTGGGGATTTGTCCTGGAGGCTGGAGTGTAAGGGGACTCCCTTGGGCAAGACTCCTTGTGCTGGGCTGGCTTTGCCAGAGTCCTATGCGGACACTCTGGGGAGGGGCTGGGAGGCAGGAGAGCCGCCTCCTCCTAGAAGCCCTCCATGTGCCCCCTTCCCATGCCATCACCTAAACCTGCGCTATTTCCTTCTGATCACTCACCACACTCAGTCACCATGTCGCTTCTAGTCCAGCAGCACGTGCACTCTCCGTGGAAGTCAAGGCTGACGGACTCAGTGCCCAAGGATGAGACAAAGAGGAAGAGGGGAGAGCCGAGAAAGCAGTGGGGAACCAGAAAGAACAGACAGGGGGAGCGATCTGCAGAGGCGGGAGTGAGCAGGGAGCCAGCCGGACCTAGCAGGGCCAGGAGGCCAGGAAGGCCCCAGAAGGGGGCTGGCAGAGAGCCCCTGGAGCTCCACGCTGGCGGCTCTGTCCAGGCCCCAGAGGCTCATGGGACCAGCAGCTGGGTGGGCTGGATTTCAGGGGGAACTCTCACTGCTGCCACCTCTTCAGAGGTCCCCCTTTGAGCCCCTGGGAACCCCGCCCACTGGGCAACCTCCCAGACTCCCAGGCTCTGCCCTGCAGACACTAGAACCAAGGGCCGGTTTTTGCTCCTACAGGGGACCAACGGCTTGAAACCGGCCCTCCGGGTGCCCCGCTTCTCTCCTGGGCCTCCCCTAGCTTTGAAGCCAAGGCACGAACAGCTTTAAGCCAGCTATTGGGGGACAGGCTGCAGCTGACCCCAGGCCCTTCTCCACACACAGGCCTATAGGGTGGCAATGGCCTTGGATTGCCCAGCTGGGCCCCCTGCCCTTTGCCCCCTCCTACCACCTCCCTATATTGACGCACCTGCCCTGCATTCTGGGGCCCCAGACTGGTACTAGGAAGTGGGTTGGGGTAGCAGTGACCCCACAAGGGCCATGTGAGAGCAGGCAGCCAGCAGCCAGCCTGGGGGTTTTCCCGAGAAGCCTGACTAGCCACTCAGCTCCTTCTCAGGTCAAGTTCTTGGCTCCTTCTGGCAGCAGGGCCTTCTATGAAGGCGCCTGCAGTGGGAGAGGGGAGGGGAGTCTGGGCTGAGTGGCAAGCCGGTTCCAGCAGGATCACCCGGGCCTCTGAAGCCCTTTGGGGGAAGTGTCCAGGGTGTGGCTTTAAGGGGGCCTGTTTGGTGGTGTCCCAGAAGTGCAGGGCATGCTGGGAGAGGATCCTGGTCGCCCTCAGGCTCATCCTGATGGGGGATGGGTTCTGCCTCCCCTCCACCCCAACCCCTTCTCAGGCACCCACCAGGACCAGGCCAGCGCTGTCCGCCTCTCATTCTTCTGAAGCTCAGACAGCTGTGCCCCGGCCTCCTCCAGAGCCTGGGGCCTCAGGAAATGCCTTCTCTTCCTTCCTGCCTTGCGCCCCCCAGGCCTGCCCTCCCCTGCCTCCTGCTGCCTCCTCCCAGCCCTGTCCTCTGGCCTCCCACCAGCCGGCAAGGACATGCTGTTCCCAGTGGGCATCAGCTAGGGTCCAAGTTGTTCCTTTGTTGCAGAGAGAGCTGAGGCCCAGAGAGGAGGAGGGAGAGGGGGAGGGGAGCCCAGGACTTAGGTGCTGCCTGGCTGGTCTGGGAGTGGCCCCCAAATTAGAGGGCCAGGCCCAGTGACTCAGTGGGCCTGGGGCCGGGCGTGCAGTCACGGCTTATTGCAGACTGCAAACCACAGACACGAGAGCCTTCCAGGCACAGGAACCGTATGAACAGAAATCTTGCCCTGGATGCACCCCCCAACTACAGGGAAGATCTCCAAGGTGCATCTGTGCCCCTTGCAGGGTGCCACCCCCACGCTCCCTCCAGGAAGATGCCAGGCTGTGCAGGGGAGATGGAGGCTGGCCCACCACTAGGTCTGACCACCTAATTTCAGTGACATTCTCCCCCCTGCTCCCCACACCCTCTGCACCTTGCTGTGTGCGCTTCCTTCTGCCACCAACAAGTCCCTCTTCACTATTCCTCTGGCGCTGTGCGCAGCCCTAGCGTCCCAGCCTCCAGAGCAGGGCAGGGTGCAGCAGAGGGTGGCTGGGGGCACAAGGCCAGGTGGGGCTCCTTGGGCAATGGGCATGCCTCACATGGGTTTCTTTCATTTCTTAAACAGCTCTATTTTTTCAAATATATTTTTATTGATTTTAGAGAGGAAGGGAGAGGGAGAGAGAGATAGAAACATCAATGATGAGAGAGAGTCATTGATCGGCTGCCTCCTGCACGCCTCCCACTGGGGATCGAGCCCGCAACCCGGGCATGTGCCCTGACCTGGAATTGAACCATGACCTCCTGATTCAGAGGTCGACGCTCAACCACTGAGCCACGCCAGCTTGGCTTAAACAGCTTTATGGAGATGCAATTGACATACCATACAGTTCACCTATTTTAAATGTACAAATCAAGGGTTTTTAGTATAGTCACAGAGTGTACAATGTCACCACAGTCCATTTTAGAACATTTTTATCATCTCAAAAAGAAAACTCATGCCTTTAGCTGTCACCCCTCCATCCTGCATTCCCCGGGCCCTAAGAGACCACTCATCCACTTTCTGTCCCTATACACGCGCCCATTCTGGACGTTTCGAGGGGAATCATACAATCGGTGGTCTTTCGAGACAGGCTACTTTCATGGAGCACAACGTTCTCTGTGTGTTTTGGACCCTCTTTCTCCTCCGAAAGGCCATGACTGGGGATGCTGGCACTTGGTGAGGCCGCGTGGGCCTCGCGATATTAGTCTTTCTACTGCCAGAGATGTTGGAATACGTCTCCAATAAACAGTAAAAACCACAAGCAAACAAGCAGACAAACTGACTCCCCTTGTCTGGAAAGACATGAGTTCTTTCCAGTCTCCTGGTTCGAACCTTTTGCGTCGGCATTGCCCCCCAAAAGAAGAAGGAGCCAGAGCTCCCAACCCGGACCCTGTCACCCTTCTCCGTGACTCAGCCTGGAAGCTCCTGGCAGGCAGGCGCCACAGCTCGGTCAGGCCACCTTGTGTTCCAAGTCCCCTGAACTGATGTTGGTGCAAGAAAGGGGGCCTTGCCCAGCTAGCCTGGCTCAGTGGTTGAATATCCATCTGTGAATCAGGAGGTCACGGTTCAATTCCCGTTCATGGCACCTGTCTGAGTTGCAGGCTCAAACCCCAGTGTGGGGCGTGCAGGAGGCACCCGATCAATGATTCTCTCTCATCATTGATGTTTCTATCTCTCTCTCCCTCTCCCTTCCTCTTTGAAATAAATAAATTTATATATTAAAAGGGTAGGGGGAGAGCCCCTGGGCCCAGCCATTCGCCCAGGCAGAACCTTCTAGACCCCACTTGCATGCCAGCCCTGGGCTGAGCACTGAATAACTGAATGACAGCTGGTGGGACCCTCAGACTTCATCCCTGTTCTCCATCCATTGGACCCACCTCTCTTCGGCCTCCCCTCAGCCTCCACCTGCTGAGCTTTTCCTCTCTATACACTATTCTCTTTCGGTTTCTGTGGAATCCTGTCCTGTCTTGTGTCACCTGCCTTAGCGTCTTCCTCTCTCAGCCCCCTAGTCTTCTGTGTAGATCTCAGCATCATTGCCTACCTCTGTTTATTTATTATTTTGATTTTATTTTATTGGTTTCAGAGAGGAAGGGAGGGGGAGAGAGAAATAGAAGCATTAATGATGAGAGAGGATCATTGATCGGCTGTCTCCTGCATGCCCCACACTAGGGATCAAGCCCACAACCCAGGCTTGTGCCCTGACCGGGAATCAAACAGTGACCTCCTGGTTCATGGGTCGGCGCTTAACCACTGAGCCACGCAGGCTGGGCCTACCTTGGTTTCTCACTCCCTCTCAACTCTCACCTTTGTCTCTCAGAAGCTGCTCCTGCAAGAGTCTCCCTCCTGCAGTGTCAGCCCATGAAAGAGGCTGGCTCTGGCCTGGCCCCGCTGCATGCTGGGTACACGGGCCAGGGGAGGAATGGGACCCCAGTGAACAGGGAGGCCTGGACTCTAGCCGCAGATGGAGCTGGGCTCGCTGGGTCCTCAGGAAGTGGCCACGCTTCCAGTCATGGCCTGGGTGTAGTGGCTGAGGACAGCCTCTTCCTGGGAAGCTTGGCTGGCCGGCCAGTTAGTGAGTGGCCGGCACAGAGCTCGAGCCCCGAAGGAAGTGCCCACCCACAGAGCGGTTATCACATCCTAGGGGACCTGCACAGATTGAGCAAAAGAATGACTCGCTAGGTTCCTTCTCTCTGAATCAGCTTTCCCACTCAGCTTCTCTGAGCTCCGGGACAGGCAAGCTAGGGAGGATCCCCCAAGTCTGGGCCAGCCCCAGCCGCCCCCAGCTCAGTCCCATCCGGAGGTCACACAGATAGGACAAGTTCCTCTTTTTTAGGGAAAAAAAAAGGCTGGAATGTGTGGGGGTGGGGATGAGGGTATCCAGAGTTCCCAGGAGCCTAGATCAAGCCCTTCCCGAAACCCACACAGCTGCCTCCCGGATCTCAGAGAAGCACCTCCTTGTTCGGGCCCAGGCTGCCCCAGGTTCTGGGCGGGCTCAGAACAGAATCTCAGGGCCACTCGCTGGACCAGCAGCCAGAGGCTGCCTCCCTCCCCCTCATCTCTCTTTCCTTTCTGCCCTCTCGCTTTCCTCTGCCCGGCCCAGGGCCAGAAAGCCATTTCCCACCCCTTTCTGGGCCTCAGTGTCCCCATCTGGGCAGTGGAAAGTTTGACTCTCTGAGGCTGGGCTTGCCCAGAGACGCCCAGGGTCCTTGTGTGAGTGAGACCGTGTGTCCCTTCGCTCTGTTCCCTGGGGCAGGGAGAGGGGGTGCTGGAGGAGGGGATGTGAGCGGGGAGCCGGGAGTGGGTGCAGCTAGCCCAGCCGTCTACAAGAAAATTGCTCCCTTTGAAGCTGCCAGGGGGGCCTGGAAGCCTGCCCCCCTCCTTCCCTTCCTCCCTCCCTCTCTCCTTCCCTCCAGCCCCCTCCCTCCTTTCCTCCCTCCCCGCCCCCTCCCCGGTTGGCCCGCCCGCCCAGCCTTTAGCCTCCCTCCCACCGCCTCTGTCTCCCTCTCTCCACGAACTGCCCAGGAGTGAGCAGCTGCTCTGGACGGCCCAACAGACGGACACACGGATTGCTGGACACTCAAGCCTGCCAACCAGCCAGCCTGCACCCAACGCTTCCCCTCCTCAGGTAGGGCCCCCACGCCAGCCACTCACTGTCCCCACACCCCACGCTGGCCTTCAGCTGCCCTGGATGTCCCATCCCTGGCTCTGTTGCCCCCTCACCATTCTTAAGAAGTCCCAGACCCTGACCTTGCTGCCCCCATGCCGCCCCTCCACGTCCCTATCCCTGTCCCTCCTGCCCCCTTACCACCCTCTCCTGTGGGTTCCCAGGATGCCTGCGGGTTCCCAGGGCACTGCTGCAGGCTCTCAGTCTGTGCCCCTTCGTCGCCGCCCTGTGGCACCCTTGGTCCTTGTCCCGGTTCTGCCTCTACTCCCCTCACTCCCCTCCCTCTTCCAGGCACCTTCTCCACCCCCCTTCCCCCTTCCCTCTGATCTCACTCAGCTCAGCTCCGTGCCTGCCCTCTCTGCCTCCCCCTCGGGGTTGTTATCTTTGGCTGCGGCCCCAGAGCATCACCAAGGCATGGCTGGATGGCTGGCACCCTAGCTCCGCCAGTGGCCCTCTCCCTTTGCCGCAAGACCCTGGGTGCACCCTGCACTCCCACCAGCCTCTCTCTGTGCTCTGCTCCTCCTGCTCAGCAGGCAAACCTACTTGCTCAGAGTTTCTCCTGGCCCAGGTCGGAGGCCCTCGGGCCTCCGCGGGAACTCGGGCCAGGGAGCAGTCCCCACTGCCCGGGCCCAGGCCTTGGCAGGAACTCAGAGACTTGGTTCTCCAGGCACGCCCCAGGCACCCTGCCCAGATGTTCCTCGCTTACCCACAGGCAAATGCCCTGCCTCTACCTCCTCCTGGGCGAGGTGTGGGTTCACCGAGCCCTGGCCTCCAGGGCCCGGGGTGGGGCTGCCTGGGTGGCTCAACCCCATCTCCCCAGAACCCCGTTGGATTGGGACTCAGAACTGGAGTGAGGCAGAGAGAAACTCAGGCAACTAGGCCATGTTACCCTGGGCCAGGCCTGGCTTGGGGCCCTTAAGGTTAGGGGGACACTGGGTAAATGTTTGGCTGCAGACCCACTTCCAAGCTGAGACCCCATCATCTCATCATCCCAGGCCTTCAAGGAGGGGTGGACTTCAAGGGCTCCCTGACCAGCAAGCAGCCCTGTCCCCCAAAGGCAACCCAGCCACTGGTGCGGGGCGAGGGGGCATCTTTCAAATGGAGAGAGAGAGCCCCTGGTCTGAGCAAAGTGTAGCTGGCAGGTTGCCACTAGGGCCCTTTGGGAGGGGAGGAGTGGCTCCTGCGGGTCCCACCCCCATCCCATGCATTATACAGAGGGGGCTACTGAGGCCCAGAGAGGGCCAGGAACCTGCTCACGGTTGCACAGCCATTCAAGGGCAGAGCTGAGGTCAGGACCCAGGGCTTCTGACTGACAAACTCTGGCTGTATTGACCCCATACCACCCAGGGACTCGTCAGAGTCACTTGACTACTGATGGCAATAGCCTGTGGTCAGCAGTACTGTGAGACGATCGGGGTGGGGGTAGCAAGATCACTGGCCCCTGTCCCGCAAGCTGCCAAGATGGCTGACACGTAGAGGGGCCTGTCAAGGGACCCAGGAGAGGAGGAAGGTAGAACAGAGCTCTCTGGGTGTGCCCCTGAGTGCCCTGGCCACCTCCCCCCCGCCCCTGCGGCATGGGCTGGTGTGGGGCCTGGGCACTGGTTACTGAGGGCTGCTGAGTGCAGAAAGTCCATGATCCTCCAGGGCGGAGCAGTGGGTGGCATCGGGTGGGGCAGCCCTCACTTAAGCCAGAGAGATTGTTCCTGAACAGTCTTCAGAAGAGCCGCTCAGGTTGCGGCTGCGGTCAATGCCATCTGTCCTCAGGAGGCTCCTGCCTCTGTGGCCCTCACCCCGCCCTGGCCTGCCAGCTCACCACTCTTAGGGCCTGCCTGGGGCCGGGACAGGCTAGAGATGCTCGGGCCTCCCTCAGCGCCAGAGAAGAAGGTTCCTGGGGGTCTGTGTCCAGGAGCGCGTTCATGCAGAGTGAGAACGCGTGCACAAGACTACAGATGTGCAGGCGAGTGCTCCTGGCAACACACTGCTGCCTGTGCCATCCGCGCCTGGGAGACCTGCAAGGGCAGAGGCACCTTCCTGTGGCGCTTGCCCATGGCTAGCTACCGTGGGCCTCCTGGGGGAGCCTCTGAGGACTGGCCTGTGTGGTGCATTGAAAGGAAGGTGCAGAGCTGCCGCCAAACTGTAAGGGCCAGGCTGGGAGCCGGGAGCAGAGAGGGCTCCGATGGCAAGCCAGCCGCCCGGTCCAGCTGCCCACTGGGCCACCTTCAAGCCCCAAGGACCCAGGTTCCAGTGGATATGAACATCCCGCTGCTTTTGTGCTCTGCCTGCCCTGGAGAAGAGGCCGGGGTCCCGTGTAGTAGATGGGGAGTCTGAGGCCCCACCCCTTTTCCAGTGGATCCAGTGGCAGTTCTGAGTCAGTCCATTTTAAGGGCCCAGAGAGTTGGGGGGGCCACCCTCTGATTGGTGTGCATGGTGACTTGCGACCATCAACCCAAATTTCTCCCCACCATGGCCCTGGCCCATTGGAGGGGCGTGGACAGGGAAGGATAGGAGGAAAGGGGGCCTTTGTAAGACAAGAGTCTCCTTCGGGAAGATTCTGCAGTCACTGGAGGCCACAGAGTGTCTCTTCCAGTGCCAGCGTCAAGTCCCCAGAGGAAGAAGTTGTCATGAGCCCGAAAACGAGGGTCTGCGAGCAGGGCCTTCTGAGAGGGCTGCCTCCTCCCACCCACACCCTGGCCTCTGAAGCCCCACCCACTGGGCACTGGGCTGCTGTCCTGCAGGTGGCACATCCGGGGCCCCTCACCATCTTTGTCCATCCTGATTGTTAACAAGGTCTTCCCAGGCCCACCAAGGTCTTCATCCTGCTCCCCTTGGTCAGGCACCAGAGCCGGAGAGCTTGGGCCCTGCCTGGAGCTGCTCCACCCAACGCCTATCTACCCTGCTGCTGGGAGTGAGCCACACTAGCCCAAGACTTGCCTCAAATTGAGGGGCTAGGAGGTGACAGTGGCTCTCCAGAGTGCCTTGCTGTGAGCCATGGGGTGGGAATGAGCCTCTGCTCCCCCTGAAGGCAAGCAGATCCGGGCCCTGCCAGCTCTGCCCCCTCCATCCCCTCCCTCCTGTCCTCTTTGCCTCCCACCCTGGGCCACCCACAGAACCCTTTCTGTACATCCTGTCTTAGGGGAAGCCAGTGGGAGGTGAGCAGAGGGGGCTGTGCTGGGGGGATGGGAGGGAGTCTGTTCAGGCCTGTCCCAGCCCCAGCCCCATGGCCAGGTCCTTCTCCAGCCTTCCAGACCAGCTCCAACCTTCCATATAGGAACACACAGTCCGAGCATCCCAGGGCATCCTTCACCCCCACTGGGACTCCAGGCTCCTGGAAGCCACCCCAGCCCCACTCCATGAGCCTCTTCCCCACCCTCTCTGCTCTGGGTAGGGGTAGCTCCTGGAGTGGCCGTGGAGGGTACCTTCTTGCCCAGAGCCCAGCAGCCTCAGCTCTTTCAGATGCTGCTCAGCTCCCAGCACGGCCTACAGAGCAGCACCAGCAGCACCAGCGAAGGTTCGGGGACTCAGATGACTCCCATCTACCCCCTCCCTGTGGTGACACATCTCTTAGGTTTAGGGGGCGGGGCGCTGGGAGAGGTTCCAGACTCTGTGTGACTCTGACCTCACCCCGGCTTCTCCCCCACCAGCTGCCTCTAGGAGGTCAGATGGCCCACGGGGACACAGCAGTCAGAAGCCCATGTGGCCACAGGATTGGGGATTGGGGGAATAGAAGCAGGGCTTGAAGGACGGGGGCAGAGGGCAGAGGCTGGCTCTGGCAGCTCTGGCCCTGGAGACAAGGGAAGTCCCGAGGCAGAGGAGAGTGTGACTTTGATCCTCTCAGAAGTCTGAGTCCCAGCTCAACCTTCATGATGGTCCCCTGGGCCTTAGAGGCCGCCCAGCTACAAAGAGGTCTGAAACAGGGAACCCTGCGAGTGGCTGAAGGTGAACAGGTCCTGGCTGCCAAGGGCTGGGTCCCGCCACAGCCGGAGCCCCTGGGACAGAGCTGGGACCCTGTGCAGGGAAGGGCTGTGGGGAACCCTGGGCCCAGGAAGGGAAGGGACTACAGGCCTCCCTCCAGGGTGCCTGGCAGCTCTCCTGGCCTGGGAGCCAGGCCAAGCTCCCTTGCCCTGGCCTGGCTTAAGGAGGAAATGAGGCAGGCAGGGACCCAGGCTCTGGTAGGCAGGCAGAGAGCATCGCCTGGGGGGTCTGGCGCCTGCTGGGACCTAAAATGCTCAGGGGAACTTCCCTGGCCTGCCAGGGTGATGGCTTTTGCAGGCAACTTCCTTGCAGACTGAAGCAGAGCTGGCCTTGTGCATATACTTGGGCCAAAGCAGTGCCACCTGATCCATCGACGAAGGGGGTAGGCCCCTCGGGCAGTGGGGAGCTATTGATGGTGGCAACCAGAGAGAGGTGCTATGTTTCTAAAGGATTTCTGATGCAAGCAAGGGGGCGCAGGGCTGTACTTTCCAACCACCTCATGTCCCAGTTGGGGCAAGGGAGCTGCCAACGAGTCTTCTCCAGGGACCCCAGGGGCTGGCCCAGCCCCTACGCAGCCCAGAGAGCGTGGGATCTTGCGGCTTTGGGGCCTGCAGCAAAGTCTGCAACTGATGGCAGAGGGTGGGGCAAGACACATGGGTGGTAGACAGACAGACAGCAAAGTCCTAGCTCCACCATTTCCTCGCTGGGTGGCCTTGGGCAAACCCTGAGCCTCATCTTACCCATTCAGCAAGTAGTAAAAAGCAGGGCTTCCTTCTATGGTCATTGGGAAATCATTTGAGTTTCCTGCCCCGCCCTGGGAGGTGGTGATAGCATCCTCCCTCTTCCTCAAAGATTCTATTTTTTAAATATATTTTTATTGATTTCAGAGAGGAAAGGAGAGGGAGAGAGTTACATGAATGATGAGAGAGAATCATTGATCGGCTGCCTCTTGCACACCCCACACTGGGGATGGAACCCAAAACTTAGGC